AACAGAGAATAAACTGCCCAAATACCCTTAAACAAAGGAAAAGTACGTCCTTTATGAAGGCATAGAGCCTTTACTACATGAAAATGAAAATTAATGAATACACTGTGTACAGTAATTTACCTGATAAGACAGACCTCAGAAAAATACTTTATGAGAGTTTTTATACTTTTATAAAGCTGTCTATAATGAAAATTAATTAACTAAGGATTTTTTTGCCCTGTTAGGGTGGGGCCGAGTTATCAGGAGTGCCGGGTTATCGAGAGCCGAGTTTTCGAGGTTCTACTGTACTACCATCTATTACTACTACTTACTTTTTCTAGAGAATGTTAATGGAAGTTGTTATCTATTTATTTAACAATTTATTTAACTTTTGCTAGTCTTTAAAACTGCTCACTAGTTTATATATATATACTGTATACTTTCAGTATTCTTTGTTTATTAAAAATAAATACACACTATTCCAATTTGTTAAATAAGTTTTAACAAGCTAAGGATTGTCAAATGTTTGACTGAAAATATATCTTATATTATGTTGGCTACACGAACTGAGTTGTTGTTTGATATATTTAATACAGTTTTGTTAATGTTATGTTAGGTAATACATTAATCAATTTTATAATATTTAAAATCAATGTTAATGACTCCTTAACATGAAAAAGTTTGATCTTCGAATTTTGGTAAGAGGTTACTTTTAGATATTTACATTACGTACTGTACATATAAATTACCTGAAACTTCTACCAAAATTTTTTTTTTGTTTCATTTAATTTACTAAAGATTCAAACATGTTATACACGAAATCTCAATAAAATTTACTCGTTAAATGAAAAAAAGACATAATTAAAACTGACAAAACATCTACAAATCTGAACAAAGATTGATAATTTAAAGGCTGTTAACCTTAAAAAATGGAAAACGTGTTCAACTACACTAATTAAATAATCGGTAATTTATACACGAATAAACTTGTGAAAACGGCAAATGAATGTTACTTAACTCACCTTGCTAAAACCAAAGCCGTAATTATGGTTTGTGCCAATCGATTCTGTTGGATTACGGCAATGTTTCTCTTATATATACACGTTACAAACCGCTAATCGTCCACCATCTTTAATAACGTCTAGTACAAAGTCAAGTCTCGGGCTAAAAGATAGACGATGCTAATTGGTCGATTTAAATAACGGTTGTAAAAAAAATAAAAAAATAAAAATAAGTAAATAAATAAAATGACGTAAAAATAAATTAAACTACTCTGTTACAATATTTTTAAATTAATTTTTTGTTATCATTTGAAATTAAATTTTAATAAAATTAACTTAATTTGAACCATTTTAAGAAAATCTCAATTGTTATATATTTCATAAAATAAAATAAATAAATTAATTATTCTAAACATATTTCTCTT